GCTGGGCCCCACACATCCATGTGAAGCGTCTGCAAGGGAGCCTCTGTCGGGGGGAAGTGGGAGGAGTGAGGAGTAGCCCGGAGGCGACCCTCGACACAGGGGACACAGGAAGGTCCTGGCCCGGAGGGGAGAGGAGGGAGAGACTGGGGAAGACCAGAGACAAGGACACGGGAAGCCATGCTCCGAAGACGGGGCAAGGAGGGGTGGCCAAGACGGTGGTGCCACAGGAGAGTCTCGTGAGACAGGAGGCGACAAGAACAGGGGGCAGACTCAGGACCTGACCGGGACGCAGCAGCAAGTACCTGACCCGACGCAGCCACCTGACCAGACGCAGGGACAGGAGGAGACTCAACGGTCAGGGTGTAGAGACTCGACCCCGGCCGACGCGAGAACGTGGCCAGGTGTCGGCCTGTGCGTGCCTCCGTGCAGTGGGTCACCCGCTGACTCGCAGGAGTGAACTGGTGAACACCCCCATCCTGCAGGTCCGCTCCACTCACCAAGTTCGTGGAGAACGAGGGAAGGTACAGACCCGACAGGGTGCCCGAAGGGGCAGCCGGACACGGGAGGACAGTGGAGAAGTGAGACAGGACAGGACCTCCAGAGGGGTCAGCAAGGGAGACTGCAACCGGCCGGCCGAGCGGCGTAAGGGTAGTGCGGTCGCGAAAGAAGGAGCGAGAAGCTCCGGAGTCAAGTGTGAAAGTGAGGGAGGACGAGGACGACGCAGTACCTGAGAGCGCAGTCTCACCAGTACCTGAGAGCGCAGACGCACTGGCACCTAGAGCAGCAGCCTCACAAGCACCTAGCGCAGCAGTACCAATGCCCGGGTCGGGCCGGAAACAACGGTAACCCTCATTCTCCTCACTATAATCCACAACATACATAGCAGTAAGGATAGCATCAAAATCAAGATCAAAGATCGCTACACCAGCCCTGAGAAGCTCATCCCAGCGAGGGATCTCACTAGCCCCAGGGAACTGCTGACGCCAGGCGTCCGTCAGGCGGCCAAAGCAGCGCTGGGTGGCGTGGGCACCCCCACACTGCTCACCCGCGCGGTCGCCGGAACGAAGAACGTAGGTGCAGGGACCAGTACCCCCACCCCTCTGACGCCCAGCGTACCACTCACGAAGCTGCTGAGGCGAAGGGATGTCCCGCGAGCGCTGCTGCTGCTGCCGGTGCGAGCGCTGGCCACCACCACCACCGCTACGCTGCTGGGTACCACCCCGACCAGCTCCACCTCCTCCACCACCACTGCCTCCTCCGCTGCCGCCTCCACCGCCTCCACCTCCGCCGCCTCCACCTCCGCCGCTGCCTCCACCACCACCGCTGGCTCCACCACCACCGTCTCCGCCGCTGCCGCCACCACCACCACCACCACCTCCGCCACTAGTCCCGCCGCCACCCCCACTCCCTCCGCCGCCACCGCCGCCACCGCCACCGCCCCCTCCAGCTCCACCCGCGCCCTTGCCCCCCTTGCCCTTGCTTGAGCGACGTCTCCCACTAGGGGCAGACGCCGCGCCGACCGACTCAAGACCAAGCAGGTCGGCAGCAGCAGCAGAGGAAACAGAGGGCAGCAAGGGGGAAGGAGAGCACCCCTCAAAGATGGGGGTGCGAGGGTCACCACGAGAAGCACCTACAGCGACTATGCTCTTCTCCGCTGCAAGGAGGGACTTCTCGAGGAGGTCGACGGTGAGGGTGGTGGGACAGACTGCGAGAAAGTGGTCCCTGACTACGCGAAGGGAGTCAGGGAGGCGCGCGACTACGTAGTAGAGAGCGATGTACATGGGGGGGGGGTTCTTAGCGCAGAACTCAGCAGGAAGGGCGGCGCGGTAGCGAGTGTCACTAGTGCGGAGGTGCGTAATGAGGTCAGCGACAGTGGGAAAGGCAGAGAGGTCAGGAAAGAGGTAGGGAAGCATGAGACGGCTCAGTGCAGCAGTGGCAGGGGAGGAGTAGCGCGCAACTACAGCGTCGTACAAGGTCTGAGCACTCTTGTACTGACTAAAGTGCGCACGCTCAGAGGTAGGGAGGTGGCGACGCACAGCAAGACGTGCAGCAGCATCGCGGGTGGCCCACTTAGAGCGGACAGCGGGATCAGCATCAGCAGCAGGAGCAGGAGAGGCGCCAGAGGTGAGGTCAAAGAGAGAAAGGTCGTCAGCCCTGTCGCACTGTAAGTACAGCTGCAGGTCGTCTAACCAGACCTCAAAATCAATGGCGCGACCCTCAGCGTCAAAAGCTAGGACACTAGGGGTAGCCATGGCGACGACAGCGACGCAGTGCAAGTAGTAGGGAAAGAGCTCGCAGTGGCAGTGGGACTGTGCTCACCAGGCAGGGCAGGTCGAGTAGGGATGCAGAAAGGCGGCTCAGCGACCTGGCGGTTGGGTGCTGGGCGGCTCGGGCGCAGGGCGGCTCGGCTCCCGGGCGGCTCGGCGACAGGGCGGCTCGGGCGGCTCGGCGACAGGGCGGCTCGGGTGCAGGGCGGCTCGGCTCCCGGGCTGCTCGGCTGCAGGGCGGCTCGGCTCCCGGTAGTAGGGGGGGGGGGGGGGGCCGCGGTCGAGCAGGCGGCCGGGGCCGCGGTAGTAGCTGGCGGCGAGGCCGTGCGAGCAGGCAGCCGGGGCCGCGACAGGAGCGGGCGGCGGGGCCGCGGTCGAACAGGCGGCTGGGGCCGCGGTCGTAGCAGGCGGCCGGGGCCGCGATCGTAGTGGGCGGCAGCCGCGGCGTAGCGGGCGGCAGGGCCGCGTCGAGCAGGCGGCTGGGGGCTGCGTCGAGCAGGCGGCTGGGGGCCGCGACAGGAGCGGGCGGCGGGGCCGCGGTCGAACAGGCGGCTGGGGCCGCGGTCGTAGCAGGCGGCCGGGGCCGCGGTCGTAGCAGGCGGCGGCCGCGGCGTAGCGGGCGGCAGGGCCGCGTCAAGCAGGCGGCTGGGGGCCGCGTCGAGCAGGCGGCTGGGGGGGGGGCCGCGACAGGAGCGGGCGGCGGGGCCGCGGTCGAACAGGCGGCTGGGGGCCGCGGTCGTAGCAGGCGGCCGGGGCCGCGGTCGTAGCAGGCGGCGGCCGCGGCGTAGCGGGCGGCAGGGCCGCGTCGAGCAGGCGGCTGGGGGCCGCGTCGAGCAGGCGGCTGGGGGCCGCGTCGAGCAGGCGGCTGGGGCCGCGTCGAGCAGGCGGCTGGGGGCCGCGTCGAGCAGGCGGCTGGAGCCGCGATCGTAGCGGGCGGCTGGGGCCGCGACTTAGCGGGAGGGAGGCGACACGGAGGGTCGCTCGATAGCGGAAAAAAAAAAGGTTGAGCGCGCCTCGGGGCGCGCTTCGGTGGGCCCTAGGCAGAGTTCCACAGGGAACCCGCTCTATACCATGTGAAGTGTGTAAGCAGGAATGGAAATGACTAAGTCAGAGTTGGGTACAAATACAACCCTAGAAAACTGTACCCCATATGTGCTACCCCACTATGGCCTACAAACATGCATCAGCTATGATAATCTGACAAGCTTCACCGTGTTCTGCGACAACCAGTCAGCAATTCGCATCGCCAACAAGAACGGCTTCGCAAACAGAACGAAACACATCGCCCTGCGCTATTTCTTCGTGAAGGACGAGATCGAAAAGTGGAAACTCGATTCGTCATACTGTCCCACGTCTGAGATGGCAGCCGATTACTTGACCAAGAAGCTCGGAAAGCAGAAGTTCGAATACTGCATGCTGCTGACTGGACAAGGCCACGTCACCTGCGGCGACACTCCAAAAGCGAAGGGGAGTGTTGGAAACAATAAGTCTTAGTGCGCTTCTGTCGTGTCAAAACCCAAGACACTAGCGAAGCAGTCCGAATCGAAGCATCGAGTCAAACCTCGGAGGTTAGGGTAACCGCCTGGAGGTTACGGGAAAGTCAAAGGTCAGCGACCTTTGACTCGACAATTACAGCGCGACAGTTAAGGACACACAACTGACTCGTTACAGAGCAGTTGCCCGAGTCGCACTGTATCGAATCGCAACAGCAAATACAGTTATCTATCCATTCGTATTCCCTGTACTCTTATATAAAACCTTGTATTTGCTTGTTTAATTCAATCCACTTTGCTCTCACACACTAGTGCAAGGTCGGTTCACAAACTTCATTAAACGCTTCCGCTATTACAAATATCCTACCCAGAGTTATCCTCTGCAAAGATCCTTAAGGGCTTTCTCAGCCCAACACCTTGGATCCTGTTTTTCAGTAGTAATGGGGGTTGCGTGCGTGCGCCAGGCCTCTGGTTAGGTTTTGAGCTACTCTTTCACGTAAGGCCAACACCCCGCTTGCACTTTTTCTGAAAGGGTGCTGACAAAAAATACTCTTTCTAGTAAGGGTGCAAACATAATATGGTTTCTCTACAATTAGCTGAGCATTCCTTACCGATCAAGTTGTTGGTGTTGTAGCGAATTGCGAAGGGGAAATTATGCGCATGACTCAACTTCGATGCTTGAAGTAGGCCAATCTAAGCGAGGTAGCATTTTCCGCGAGAAATTTTACCATACTCCGTTAGATCTAACTCAATATCATCAGTGTTACTACACCACATAACTCTGACATATCAGTGTGGTATAACCAAACACTTTTTCTTGTAAGGGTTAAAATGTTGACCACTCTGATAAAAGAGGGTGCATCGTCAAACCCAGCCTTATAGTAAGGGTCATAAGGGTGAATCACCCTGTTAACCAGAGGCCTGGCGTGCGCGCGTGCGTGCGCGCGTGTGTGTGTGTGTTGGGGGGGGGGGGGGGGGGGGGGCGCGTATTTCAAGTTTCTCGGAGGCTGCAAGGTCATATTGGCTGCATCAAGTTTGTTCTATGCCTCTGTAACCTAGTGCCATGGTAAGTCTGCAAACAGCCCACCCTAAGTGACAACAAACCAGAGACCAATGGTTGGCTCTCTTGTTATCAACGAGATATCCACTTGCTTCAAGACTGTGCCCTGGTTCTTCTAGGGAATCCTTCCAACAACACGTTTGTAGCACTTTATGCGCAATTACCATTTCTGTTGGACTCTTAAACCAGGACATTGTGGCATTTTGCCGTGTCGCAATACTCAAAAGGGTAGTTGTTTGGCGCTACCATGGCTTCAGTGGTGATGGAAAAGGGTTTGTCGTAACTTGGAAGGTCATAATCCACTTGAATCCACAACGCCCGATACCCCACCTGCCAACACATCACATCCAGGGAACACGGGAGTGAGATGACACATGTTATGAAAAACATGCAAGCCCATAGAAAGTCTACATCCTTATATTTCCTTTGGGAAACCTCACTCCAGGCAGCCAGCTGTCGTCTGGTAGCCATAGCCGTAGTTAGCAGCATGAGGATGATCAATGTCTCACCTTGGGAATGTCGCTGACAGTGGCGCTGAAATGCCACTTGCCATCGTCCTTCCTTGTAGGGGGCGTGACTTTATCTTGGAAGAAGGCGATGGGTTGCACACAGAGCTTCCCCAGCCTGCTCACGTAGCTCCCCGCCGGGCCCTGGAACGGCAGCACACTGCCATGCGATCCCACGACATGAACCGTATGGCGTACAGTCACATGGCGTACAATCACATGGCGTACAGTCACATGGCATACAGTCACATGGCATACAGTCAAATGGCGTGCAGTCACATGGCCCACAGTCACATGGCACAAAGTCACATGGCACACAGTCACATGACAGTCGCATGGCATAAAAACATGGAATGGGGTGAGTACCATATGGTGACATCAAGGAACGTCTGTACAGTCACAAGTCATACAATCACATGTGCAGTCACATGTATCGACAAGAAAGGTACACAACATAAAACAATAAGGGAAACGAATGTACTGGAGGCACAGCAAGGCAGTGAGGGGGCACAGCAAGACAGTGAGGAGGCACGGCAAGACAGTGAGGAGGCACGGCAAGACAGTGAGGAGGCACGGCAAGACAGTGAGGAGGCACGGCAAGACAGTGAGGAGGCACGGCAAGACAGTGAGGAGGCACGGCAAGACAATGAGGAGGTACGGCAAGACAGTGAGGAGGCACGGCAAGACAATGAGGAGGCACGGCAAGACAGTGAGGAGGCACGGCAAGACAGTGAGGAGGCACGGCAAGACAGTGAGGAGGCACGGCAAGACAGTGAGGAGGCACGGCAAGACAGTGAGGAGGCACGGCAAGACAGTGAGGAGGCACGGCAAGGCACTGAGGTTGTGCAAAACGCATCACACACAGCAACACCCACATGGTGGGAAGGAGTGAGCAGCTGGTGAACGTTTCACCATGTGGCCACAGCAACCCATCCAACCGGAGCAGCAACACCCACTTGGAGTGAGCAGCTGGTGAACACCTGATTGATCAACCGGACATGCCACACAAGTGGTTTTTCTGCCACCTACTTCATCCCGCCCCACCTCCCACCATCCCATCCCGCCTCTCACCATCCCGTCCCTCCGCTCACCATCCCATCTCACCGCTCACCATCCCATCTCACCACTCACCATCCCGTCCTGCCTTGGTGCAGAATGAATCGGAAGTCACGCCGCTTGCTGCCCATGAAGGTCTTCCCAGTCCTGCCAGCAACACACGCGTACACGGATGGGGGGAGGCGGGGGGGGGGGGGGAGTGAATGGGAGAGAGTGGGAGACGTCGGGTGGGAGTGGGAGATAATGGAAGTGCAAAGGGGAAAGGGAGGAGGCATGAGAAATCAGGATGGGGCCGTTGGGGGAAGTGGTCATAATTGGGGGCGTTGGGGGCGTGGGTGGAAGCAGGGAGCGGCGGTGAGTCCCTGTGTGCAGGTCAACGCCTCCCATGCCATGCGGTCAGAGTGGTTGGAGGGGTCAATGTGGTCGGATTGATCAGAGTGGTGAGATCAATGAGAGCAATGCTCACCACCATGCTCACCACCATGCTCCCACATTCCCGTACCATGCTTGCACAGCCACAGGTTTAACCTCTGACGTGGCATGGATGGTGTAGGAGGGCCAATCAAAGCGCCACGTCAGCTTGGGCCAGAGCACGTGTGTGAGCAGAGGGAAGCAGGTCCAAGGCAGCAGCAGCGGAGGGGCAGCAGGGCGCCCCCCCAACGCCAGCGAGAACAGCCCCGCCCTCCCAATGCTGCTGCTGCTGGTGTCGGTAGAATTGGATGAGGAGGGGGGTGAAGATGAGGGTTGGTGAGAGGAGGAAGGGGAGGAGGCGTTGGGGGGAAGCCAGGTGAGGGAGGGGCGGCTGGACGGGGGCAGGGCGGCGCAGGAGGAGGTGTCGTGGAGCAGTGCGAGGAAGAAGGACATGCAGGCGTCGTAGCCCTGATGGGGGGGGGGGGTTGAGGAGGGGAGAGGGTAGGCGTGAGTGGGGGGATGGCAGTGCAATACAAAGGTGAGGACGAAGCACATGCAGGTAAGCAAGCAAGCAGGCGAGCAGGCGAGCAGGCGAGGTAGTGCGAGAGGCGGCTCACCCACTGCGAGGAGTGCAGCACCATGTGGTCGATGTTGGGCAGCAGCTTCAGGAACTTGGGCTCCGGCAGCCCCTCCCAGTAGTTGTAGCTGCCCCATGGTGCACAGGGGGGGGGATGCGGGGCGGAGAGGGGAGTATCAGGTGAGACGAGGTGCATTGCCAATGATCAGGTGAGAAGGTGAAAGATGAACCGTGAAAGATGCACGGTGAAAGATGAACTGAGAGATGGACGGTGGGAGATGGACGCTGAGAGATGGACGGTGGGAGATGGACGCTGAGAGATGGACGGTGGGAGATGGACGCTGAGAGATGGACGGTGGGAGATGGACAGTGGGAGATGGACGCTGAGAGGTGGACGGTGAGAGATGGACGGTGGGAGATGGACGGTGGGAGATGGACGCTGAGAGGTGGATGGTGAGAGATGGACGGTGGGAGATGGACGGTGGGAGATGGACGGTGGGAGATGGACGGTGGGAGATGGACGGTGAGAGGTGGACGGTGAGAGGTGGACGGTGGGAGATGGACGGTGGGAGCTTTGAAGCGATGAAGTACTGAAAGTCTCCATCAGCTGACATTCCCAAGGAACGCCCAAGTTCAAGATTTTCTTGTCCCTACTTTATCATGATGCTCCTTGTGAAAACAGCTCAAAGAGAACATGCAAACATTCCCATTCCCCCCTTTCCCCATCCGCACCACCCTCCCCACCTCTGTTCCCCCATCCTCCCTCTCCACCTGCAGAGAAGCTCGGGGTCACGGAGGCAATGCCTGCCTCTCACCCACCTATCGCGGAGGCCCACCTGTCATCGCGGCGCCCACCTGTCATCGCGGCGCCCACTTGTCATCACCGCAACCCACCTGTCATCACCGCAACCCACCTGTCATCACCGCAACCCACCTGTCATCACCGCAACCCACCTGTCATCACCGCAACCCACCTGTCATCACCGCAACCCACCTGTCATCACCGCAACCCACCTGTCATCACCGCACCCCACCTGTCATCACCGCACCCCACCTGTCATCGAGGGCGAAGAACTCGTCGTTGGCAGCAGAGACAATGAGCTTGGGCATGGTGAGGCGGTCACGGTAGCTGTACGCATCCACCAGCTCCTGTGGCCGCGGGAGGGAGGGGAGGTTTGGTGGGGGGGTTAGGTACAGGCCGGATGACACCTTTTGAGCCGACTTAAAAGGAGGGCGAGTTGGGTGGGGTGGTTGGGTGGGGTGGTCGGGAGGGAGGGCGAGTTGGGTGAGGTGGTTGGGTGGGGTGGTCGGGAGGGAGGGCGAATTGGGTGGGGTGGTTGGGTGGGGTGGTCGGGAGGGAGGGCGAATTGGGTGGGGTGGTTGGGTGGGGTGGTCTGGAGGGAGGGCGAATTGGGTGGGGTGGTTGGGTGGGGTGGTCTGGAGGGAGGGCGAATTGGGTGGGGTGGTTGGGTGGGGTGGTCGGGAGGGAGGGCGAATTGGGTGGGGTGGTTGGGTGGGGTGGTCGGGAGGGAGGGCGAATTGGGTGGGGTGGTTGGGTGGGGTGGTCGGGAGGGAGGGCGAATTGGGTGGGGTGGTTGGGTGGGGTGGTCGGGAGGGAGGGCGAATTGGGTGGGGTGGTTGGGTGGGGTGGTCGGGAGGGAGGGCGAATTGGGTGGGGTGGTTGGGAGGGGGTTTTAGGAATTGGCCGGGTGACATCTTTTGGGGCGACTCAGAAGGCATGGTGAGGCGGTCACGGTAGCTGTACGCGTCCACCAGCTCCTGTGGGCGCAGGAGGGAGGGATGGGGGATGGAGGGGGCGGGAGGGAAGGGAGGGAAGGTGGAGGGGGCGGTAGGTACAGCTCAGCAGGGTACTCTTCAGGCGGTGACGGTAGCTGAATGCGTCCACCAGCTCCTATGGGCGCGGGAAGACAGGGGAAGGCGGGCAGGTACGGTCGCCCAGCAGGTTTTGAGCCCACTGAAAATGCATGGTGGTAGCTGTAGCACAGCACATGCTTGCTTCTTCCATGCGTGGACAGGTGACAGCACATGTGTGGGTATGACAGCACATGTGTGGGTATGGCAGCACATGTGTGGGTATGGCAGCACATGTGTGGGTATGACAGCACATGTGTGGGTATGACAGCACATGTGTGGGTATGACAGCACATGTGTGGGTATGACAGCACATGTGTGGGTATGACAGCACATGTGTGGGTATGACAGCACATGTGTGGGTATGACAGCACATGTGTGGGTATGACAGCACATGTGTGGGTATGACAGCACATGTGTGGGTATGACAGCACATGTGTGGGTATGACAGCACATGTGTGGGTATGACAGCACATGTGTGGGTATGACAGCACATGTGTGGGTATGACAGCACATGTGTGGGTATGACAGCACATGTGTGGGTATGACAGCACATGGGTAATGCATTGCTGCGAGTGGCGTTGTACTCCACTCCACATGGAAGAAGCGCAGCAGAATGGCTTTTGAGTCGACTCAAAGTTCACATCACATCTCTGAGCAAGGCAGGAGGAGGCTTACCATGAACCTGTTGAACTGCGGCTTACCATGAACCTGTTGAACTGCGGCTTACCATGAACCTGTTGAACTGCGGCTTACCATGAACCTGTTGAACTGCGGCTTACCATGAACCTGTTGAACTGCGGCTTACCATGAACCTGTTGAACTGCGGCTTACCATGAACCTGTTGAACTGCGGCTTACCATGAACCTGTTGAACTGCGGCTTACCATGAACCTGTTGAACTGCGGCTTACCATGAACCTGTTGAGCTGCGGCTTACCATGAACCTGTTGAACTGCGGCTTACCATGAACCTGTTGAACTGTGGCTGGAGGATCTTGAGGGTGATGTTGTACTCGACGTGGAAGCGCAGCAGGATGGGCCAGCCGCCCAGCGAGCGGAACATGTGGCGGTAGCTCGCCACCATGCTGAAGAAATCGTAGCCGTACGATATGATCCCCACCACCCTCTGCCATGAGCGGATGGAGGGGGACGGGAGGGGGAGGGGGAGGAGAGGGGAGGGAGAGGGGAGGGGATGACAAGTTGGAGATGGGAGACTGTAAGGCTAGATATGAAAGACGGACCTCCGCCAGTTGCCCTGCTGCCAGTCTAACAATGCCGGAGGATGGAAGAGGTAGATTGAGAGGAGGATTCTCTAGACAGCAACAAGAGACGGGGCTGAGCAGATAACGTGCAAGAATGGGTCTGCGGGAAAGAAATGGCGAGTCCGTGACACCCTCCTGGCACCTTGCTGGTGAGGACGTGCATGCATGCATGCAGGAGGCGAAGCGATGTATGCATGGATGGATGCAGGCGCGGATGCATGGAAGGATGCATGGATGGATGCATGGAAGGATGCATGGATGGATGCATGGAAGGATGCATGGATGGATGCATGGATGGATGCATGGAAGGATGCATGGATGGATGCATGGAAGGATGCATGGATGGATGCATGGATGGATGCATGGAAGGATGCATGGATGGATGAATGCAGGCGTGGATGCATGGATGGATGCATAGATGGATGCATGGATGGATGCATGGATGAATGCAGGCGTGGATGCATGGATGGATGCATGGATGGATGCATGGATGGATGCATGGATGGATGCATGGATGGATGCATGCAGGCGTGGATGCACATGTAGGGGACAGGCAGACGTAAGGGACATGCAGAGGCAGGGGGCAGCCATATGGCACCACACCGTAAGACAATAAATTCGTATATGGAAATTCATGGAGAGCATTTACTGCCACATGTCACTGCAGCAGCACACCACACTATAGCCCATGGCAATGCACTTCACTTCACACCACATTTAAACAAAAACCATGCCGTGTTCCACCTTGTCCACACCGCATCACCGCACTTCACCTTGTCAAGGGCAGCAGCCAGCCAGGAGCAAAGAGCCCTCTTGCTTACGCCGATCATCACGAAGCCCTCCACCTGGCAGGGCGGAAAAGGGCAGAAAAGGGCGGAGAAGGGCTGGGGCAGGCGCGATAAGAGACGAGGAGCAGCTGCCGTTTGGGTCCACCCAAACGCCACGCCGATCATCACTAAGCCCTCCCCCTGGCAGCGTGGGGAAGGACTGGGACGGACGCGATCAGGTGTGAGCGGAAAAACCGCCTGTTAACTCCTCTATCTCTCCTCTACGCTTAAATTCGTTTAACTCTGAGGAATACCAGTTCGCCGTGAAAATCTGGCCCTTTCGACTTCTGAGACGTCTCAAAATGTGGATCTGGCATTTCGTCGTGAGATCCGCGCACGTCCTGGCACTGGCTGGCATGGATGGAGCAGTTGGCTGACCGGCTTGGGGGGTGGGGGGAGGAAAGGGCGCCATGATTTGAGCTTTACTCAACTATACCTTATAGCCACTCAATCAATCATTGACAATACCCATTTCGCCAGTAAACCCACGTGATTTTCACACGGGAATGTTCTGTGACTATAATGAAAGTACACGTCGAACCGGACAAGAACATATTTACCGCTAACATGCTAATGTCCAGGTTCGGGGCGAACATGCTAATGTTCAGGTTCGGGGCGAACATGCTAATGTTCAGGTTTGGGGCGAACATGCTAATGTTCAGGTTCGGGGCGAACATGCTATGCTAGTGTTTGACTTTGCTGTGGAACAATTGAACACCCCATTTCAGGAGTACGTTCGGGCCGAACCAAACATGTTGGGATGAGAGGTGAACTCAAGAGTTGGTATACTGATAAAGAAGAGCAGTACAAATAGGGAATGGGGTGAGTGACCAAAGTTAGGGTTACCCCACACCATTATTGGCTGACCAATGTGGTGGGGGTCTAGCTCAATAATTGAGGTTGGGCCAATAATTGGAGGAGCCAAACATTGGAGGGTTTGGCCACCAATGTTGGCTCCCCAACAATAATGGCCGCGTGGGTTGTGGGAACCCAACCAAAAGTTGGGAGACACCCATGATTTGGGTGTACACTGTTAGGTCTAGCCATATGCATGCTATAATCTAACAGTTGGTGTTTTTCAGATTTCGCTCATGTCATGCCTAGAACAGGCATGGCGCTGCACAACAAGGGCATGGCGCTGCACAACAAGGGGAGGGGTGGAGTGGCAGGGGTAGGCGAGTGACTGGGGAACGGCCAATAGGGTAAGCTTTCTCCCCACTCTTCTCACACTCCTTCATCGTACTGTAGAGCCTTTTGGCCCCTTACACAAGGCAACGATTATCATTTTTAACACTCACCTCATCGGCATACACTCACGGGCACGGAGGGCAGCAGAGCGCGGGTGGCGAGTTGGGCGACATCGAAGCCGCGCACCACTGACTTGACCATCGGGAACTCCATGGCCCACTCGTAGTCGCTCGGGTTCTCCAGAAACATGGCCGTCGCGTCTGGCGTTGCCAGGAAAGAGGGAGGGGGGGAAGGGGGTGGGGGAGTGGGAGGGGAGAGGTGGGAGGAGGGAATAGAAGAAGTGAGAATGAAAGGACGGAAGGACAGTGTTTTAAGGGCAGGCTCACGCGCGCCATGATCTGCCCCACTCACTCACGCGCCATGATCTGCCCCACTCACTCACGCGCCATGATCTGCCCCACTCACTCACGCGCCATGACCTGCCCCACTCACTCGCGCGCCATGATCTGCCCCACTCACTCACGCGCCATGATCTGCCCCACTCACTCACGCAACATGATCTGCCCCTCTCACTCACGCGCCATGATCTGCCCCACTCACTCACGCCATGATCTGCCCCTCTCACTCACGCCATGATCTGCCCCACTCACTCACGCGCCATGATCTGCCCCACTCACTCACGCGCCATGATCTGCCCCACTCACTCACGCGCCATGCTCTGCCCCACTCACTCACGCGCCATGATCTGCCCCACTCACTCACGCGCCATGATCTGCCCCACTCACTCACGCGCCATGATCTGCCCCACTCACTCACGCAACATGATCTGCCCCTCTCACTCACGCGCCATGATCTGCCCCACTCACTCACGCCATGATCTGCCCCTCTCACTCACGCCATGATCTGCCCCACTCACTCACGCGCCATGATCTGCCCCACTCACTCACGCGCCATGATCTGCCCCACTCACTCACGCGCCATGCTCTGCCCCACTCACTCACGCGCCATGATCTGCCCCACTCACTCACGCGCCATGATCTGCCCCACTCACTCACGCAACATGATCTGCCCCTCTCACTCACGCGCCATGATCTGCCCCACTCACTCACGCCATGATCTGCCCCACTCACTCACGCGCCATGATCTGCCCCACTCACTCACGCAACATGATCTGCCCCTCTCACTCACGCGCCATGATCTGCCCCACTCACTCACGCCATGATCTGCCCCTCTCACTCACGCCATGATCTGCCCCACTCACTCACGCGCCATGATCTGCCCCACTCACTCACGCGCCATGATCTGCCCCACTCACTCACGCGCCATGCTCTGCCCCACTCACTCACGCGCCATGATCTGCCCCACTCACTCACGCGCCATGATCTGCCCCACTCACTCACGCGCCATGATCTGCCCCACTCACTCACGCAACATGATCTGCCCCTCTCACTCACGCGCCATGATCTGCCCCACTCACTCACGCCATGATCTGCCCCTCTCACTCACGCCATGATCTGCCCCACTCACTCACGCGCCATGATCTGCCCCACTCACTCACGCGCCATGATCTGCCCCACTCACTCACGCGCCATGCTCTGCCCCACTCACTCACGCGCCATGATCTGCCCCACTCACTCACGCGCCATGATCTGCCCCACTCACTCACGCAACATGATCTGCCCCTCTCACTCACGCGCCATGATCTGCCCCACTCACTCACGCCATGATCTGCCCCACTCACTCACGCGCCATGATCTGCCCCACTCACTCACGCAACATGATCTGCCCCTCTCACTCACGCGCCATGATCTGCCCCACTCACTCACGCGCCATGACCTGCCCCACTCACTCGCGCGCCATGATCTGCCCCACTCACTCACGCGCCATGATCTGCCCCACTCACTCACGCAACATGATCTGCCCCTCTCACTCACGCGCCATGATCTGCCCCACTCACTCACGCCATGATCTTCCCCACTCACTCACGCCATGATCTGCCCCACTCACTCACGCGCCATGATCTGCCCCACTCACTCACGCGCCATGATCTGCCCCACTCACTCACGCGCCATGCTCTGCCCCACTCACTCACGCGCCATGATCTGCCCCACTCACTCACGCGCCATGATCTGCCCCACTCACTCACGCGCCATGATCTGCCCCACTCACTCACGCGCCATGATCTGCCCCACTCACTCACGCAACATGATCTGCCCCTCTCACTCACGCACCATGATCTGCCCCACTCACTCACGCAACATGATCTGCCCCTCTCACTCACGCGCCATGATCTGCCCCACTCACTCACGCAACATGATCTGCCCCTCTCACTCACGCGCCATGATCTGCCCCACTCACTCACGCGCCATGACCTGCCCCACTCACTCGCGCGCCATGATCTGCCCCACTCACTCACGCGCCATGATCTGCCCCACTCACTCACGCAACATGATCTGCCCCTCTCACTCACGCGCCATGATCTGCCCCACTCACTCACGCCATGATCTGCCCCTCTCACTCACGCCATGATCTGCCCCACTCACTCACGCGCCATGATCTGCCCCACTCACTCACGCGCCATGATCTGCCCCACTCACTCACGCGCCATGCTCTGCCCCACTCACTCACGCGCCATGATCTGCCCCACTCACTCACGCGCCATGATCTGCCCCACTCACTCACGCAACATGATCTGCCCCTCTCACTCACGCGCCATGATCTGCCCCACTCACTCACGCCATGATCTGCCCCACTCACTCACGCGCCATGATCTGCCCCACTCACTCACGCAACATGATCTGCCCCTCTCACTCACGCGCCATGATCTGCCCCACTCACTCACGCCATGATCTGCCCCTCTCACTCACGCCATGATCTGCCCCACTCACTCACGCGCCATGATCTGCCCCACTCACTCACGCGCCATGATCTGCCCCACTCACTCACGCGCCATGCTCTGCCCCACTCACTCACGCGCCATGATCTGCCCCACTCACTCACGCGCCATGATCTGCCCCACTCACTCACGCGCCATGATCTGCCCCACTCACTCACGCGCCATGACCTGCCCCACTCACTCACGCGCCATGATCTGCCCCACTCACTCACGCCATGATCTGCCCCTCTCACTCACGCCATGATCTGCCCCACTCACTCACGCAACATGATCTGCCCCACTCACTCACGCGCCATGATCTGCCCCACTCACTCACGCGCCATGCTCTGCCCCACTCACTCACGCGCCATGATCTGCCCCACTCACTCACGCGCCATGACCTGCCCCACTCACTCGCGCGCCATGATCTGCCCCACTCACTCACGCGCCATGATCTGCCCCACTCACTCACGCAACATGATCTGCCCCTCTCACTCACGCGCCATGATCTGCCCCACTCACTCACGCCATGATCTGCCCCTCTCACTCACGCCATGATCTGCCCCACTCACTCACGCGCCATGATCTGCCCCACTCACTCACGCGCCATGATCTGCCCCACTCACTCACGCGCCATGCTCTGCCCCACTCACTCACGCGCCATGATCTGCCCCACTCACTCACGCGCCATGATCTGCCCCACTCACTCACGCAACATGATCTGCCCCTCTCACTCACGCGCCATGATCTGCCCCACTCACTCACGCCATGATCTGCCCCTCTCACTCACGCCATGATCTGCCCCACTCACTCACGCGCCATGATCTGCCCCACTCACTCACGCGCCATGATCTGCCCCACTCACTCACGCGCCATGCTCTGCCCCACTCACTCACGCGCCATGATCTGCCCCACTCACTCACGCGCCATGATCTGCCCCACTCACTCACGCGCCATGATCTGCCCCACTCACTCACGCGCCATGACCTGCCCCACTCACTCGCGCGCCATGATCTGCCCCACTCACTCACGCGCCATGATCTGCCCCACTCACTCACGCAACATGATCTGCCCCTCTCACTCACGCGCCATGATCTGCCCCACTCACTCACGCCATGATCTGCCCCTCTCACTCACGCCATGATCTGCCCCACTCACTCACGCGCCATGATCTGCCCCACTCACTCACGCGCCATGATCTGCCCCACTCACTCACGCGCCATGCTCTGCCCCACTCACTCACGCGCCATGATCTGCCCCACTCACTCACGCGCCATGATCTGCCCCACTCACTCACGCAACATGATCTGCCCCTCTCACTCACGCGCCATGATCTGCCCCACTCACTCACGCCATGATCTGCCCCTCTCACTCACGCCATGATCTGCCCCACTCACTCACGCGCCATGATCTGCCCCACTCACTCACGCGCCATGATCTGCCCCACTCACTCACGCGCCATGCTCTGCCCCACTCACTCACGCGCCATGATCTGCCCCACTCACTCACGCGCCATGATCTGCCCCACTCACTCACGCGCCATGATCTGCCCCACTCACTCACGCGCCATGACCTGCCCCACTCACTCGCGCGCCATGATCTGCCCCACTCACTCACGCGCCATGATCTGCCCCACTCACTCACGCAACATGATCTGCCCCTCTCACTCACGCGCCATGATCTGCCCCACTCACTCACGCCATGATCTGCCCCTCTCACTCACGCCATGATCTGCCCCACTCACTCACGCGCCATGATCTGCCCCACTCACTCACGCGCCATGATCTGCCCCACTCACTCACGCGCCATGCTCTGCCCCACTCACTCACGCGCCATGATCTGCCCCACTCACTCACGCGCCATGATCTGCCCCACTCACTCACGCAACATGATCTGCCCCTCTCACTCACGCGCCATGATCTGCCCCACTCACTCACGCCATGATCTGCCCCACTCACTCACGCGCCATGATCTGCCCCACTCACTCACGCGCCATGATCTGCCCCACTCACTCACGCAACATGATCTGCCCCTATCACTCACACGCCATGATCTGCCCCACTCACTCACGCCATGATCTGCCCCTCTCACTCACGCCATGATCTGCCCCACTCACTCACGCGCCATGATCTGCCCCACTCACTCACGCGCCATGATCTGCCCCACTCACTCACGCGCCATGATCTGCCCCACTCACTCACGCGCCATGATCTGCCCCTCTCACTCACGCGCCATGATCTGCCCCACTCACTCACGCGCCATGCTCTGCCCCACTCACTCACGCGCCGTGATCTGCCCCACTCACTCACGCGCCATGATCTGCCCCACTCACTCACGCGCCATGATCTGCCCCTCTCACTCACGCGCCATGATCTGCCCCACTCA